GGCACAGGGACGAAGAGCGATTTACTAACTTGGCAAAGATTTAGAGAGCTCTTTTTATTTGGAAATTTCAACCCGTTACGTATCTGCCGGTCTGTTCGCGGCATTGACAGGATGAGGCATATTTACAAATTGTAACCGATGTCAGCTTTTAGACTTGTCATGTCTCAAAGATATTTGAATGCTTTCCAAGACATACAGTGAATTTTTATGACAATAGCGGCTAGCAATCGTTACTGACATTTTCGTTGTTTTTTTAATTAATTCACACCGAGCGTCTGTATTTTGGTGGTAACTTTACGAGTACGGATTTCTATACTTTTCCCGCTAAGGTCCCTGTTAAGTATCAGTTGGGTCACTCCACAGGAAGCATAAACATAAAGATTTTCGTGCTTAACTGAAACAGGCTCAAGGCGGATTTCTAATTCAGAGCGTTTGATTATACAAGATCAAAAGTTGATATTTCGTCATTCGCCACCACATTGTTAAAAGGCTTGAGAACCGGCAAGTTGGCTTTTGTTTGTGAATCCACAAAATTTGTTAGTGGCGATTCAAGACACGTTTTAATTCATCTTTTGCATGAGGGAGAAACAATTCCATAACAAGTAAAATACATACACCAAATTTGCCAAGTGATTGGATGATTAAGATATTGAATTGTATCGTATTAGGAGCGACCTTTACGTTTTTCAATTTCCATTTACTTCTTATGGATATATATTTGTACGTCTATTGAAATAAAATTCAGCGCCAGTATTAGAAAGCTTTTGAAGGAAAACAAGAAAAAAACGTTTCCCACGGGTTTTTAAGCTTCGAGGCCTTCCATTGTTGTTTAAACGCACGTAACTCGGTTTTGTGTCTTTGTAAAACAGTTCAATATGTCAAGTAGATTCTTATCTTCTTGACGCGTTTCCAGTGAAAGTGAACCGTGAAACCTACTTTTACGGGTCGCGGTGCAACAAGACAAGTCACGCTACCTTAACCAAAAGTCAAGGGATAGTTTCACTTGGTTTCACATGATGGTGTTTCTGAGTCACATTTGCGGTCGAGAGGTTATCAAGATATTTTTTATAACTCATGGATGATGCAGAACTGTAATTTCAGGTCTCTTCAATGACTTAACGATATTTTTCTGGTTTGTTGAAATCATTTGTTTTGTATTACAAATGTATCGCGTGCGCGGAGGGCAAGCTTGTTAACGAAGTTTATATAAAAGCATGCCTGCGGATAACGTGTTCTATTTTTGGTTGAACTTTCTTTACTCCGCAAACTCGAAACACTAACTCTCTTTTTAAGAAAATGGGGAATTCTACGTTCTGCAAGGCTACTTTGCGAGAAGAAGAGAGATGATTTTTCTGCATGTGCCACTTCGTAACAAGGCAACACAGTTTCTTTAATATTCTTTTCCAATCTTTTACGCATAAATATTGGAAAATTAGATGACAAAAATTTTGACTACACCTCAGCAGGTTGTCTCAAAAGTGAAGCGCCATAATTCTTTGAAATTCTATGCTGGAATTGCTATTCATGCCGCGTAACCAGCTAAAGTGGATCACTGCCAATCACGCGGCACAACACACACAAATCACGTGTGAATTTTGAATGGTATGTTTATATTACAGATATCTGTAGTTTTGTGTTGTCTAAATCAAGCGATCTTAAATTGATAGACTGTTGAATCACCAACTTTGCGTGAATAAACAGTATTAAAATAACATTTCTTTATTTTGTTTCACACAATACGTTTTGTAAGCAGGTCCTCCAAAATCGCGTGCTAATCCGAAAACATAGCGTGATTTGAAATTTAACTTTCAACTTTCAACTTTCAACTTATCAGCGCCGAACACCTGTTAGGATGAAATATAATTATATTGTCATTTAACTCGATGGTGGAACCTAAACAGTATCACGTGAACACGAGACGAACTGTTTCGAAACAAAATTGATTTTTCTCGGCAGTTTTTAACACCAAGGATACCTTTAACAGTGGTTTGAGAGCAAGCATAGGAAGGAACTATGCATTTGCAGTTTCTTGAAACGTACGGAAGTAGTGCGATGAATGGAATTGAAATGAGAACGTCCGTATTTCAAATCCTACCTTGCGATTCATTTGAGTCTCATTTTCGGTAGTGCCGAAATCACGCGTTTCATCAATTACCAACTGGTTTACCTCCCTACTAATGAGATTTATAGCTATTTGCTTTCAATTATTCTACACGATGAGATAAGAGTCCCCAAATATCATAGCGCTGCTAAAGACATCCTCACTTAAACCAATATTTATTTATTCTGGATTTTCGATTTAACCTCAGTGGAACACAAATATTGTCAGGACACTTTAAAAGTGACTTCTCCAAACAGGGCACTCCAATACACACCCCACAGTTATTGCTGGCCTGGTTGCTAAGGATACGTATCGCTGACCTCGTTATCGATTCATTAAGCCAGATAAGACATTGTTCCTTATCAGTCATTTAGTCTCTTATTATTTTCGCAAAATTTCGATAAAACTTGTCGAAAACTCTATCAATATTTTTTTGTTATTTTTGGAATGTCTGGTAATTTCCAAAAAATGCAAAGCTGGATGTTCCGTGGGAGTTCTGAATCGAGCGCCCGAAAAATGGTGGCTGCTAAAGGTCGAATAATTATCCCCAGCAGGAAAATGAAATTTTCCCCTTGAAAGCATACACTGACTGGGTCAAAGTTGTCTCGATCTATTCACATGACAATGCGTTAAACTCTTACGCTAATTATATGTTCGTATTTCATTGTCAGATGATCAAATAATTACGGACATATTATTATCACTTTCGATGCATGGCGTCTAAGAAAACTTAAATCTAACTGATCGGGGAACGCTTATTTTGTACTTAAAGTAAGTGACCTGTAAAATAGCGACACGGTTCAACCTTTTGTCCTCTAAAACGACGGTGTTTTGTTTATATTGCTCGTATATTTTGACCCACGTATTGTTTCGCTACAATAACGTATTTTTCGAATATATTAAAGAACTATACAAATTCTCCGAAAGATGATAAGAAACCTTCCCTTGCGCAAAAAATATCAGTTTCATATGTTATCCAAAACGAGCCGTTAAAGCACAATTAGAATGATTGGATTAATCATAATTAAGCTTAGTTCAAGTAAAGAGTACATATTTCAAGTGAGGTGGTATAACAATACTACAAACTCTACTGAGACCTGTACAAAAATTGTGCAATAAGTTTCACAAGGAGATTGCCTATAGCCTAAGTCAAAAAATGCTGATTAATTTCATTATTTCTTTAACGATATGATAGAATTATCTAAGAAAAAAGTTCTCCCGCCACGTGCACGTGGACACTACAAAGGTCACGTGAAAATTTTTATGAAAGATTTGTCTTCGAGCGACATGGAGCTTCGAACTAACAAAACACTTCCTTTAGCTCATAAAACCATTGCCATTTTTGTTAACTTCCCCTTTTTCTCAGTAACAAAATTTTATTGTCTCAAGCAGTTTCCCAGTGTGACATCAAATTCTGACTGGTCGTTTCTTCTCATCCAGTGATTAATGTTTAACTTCGACCCAACGCCTACGTTTGTGTTTACATGAGCTCACATGTTCGATTTACGGCAAGCGCTTAAAAACCATCGAAATAATCCCTCCGGCACAAAGATAAAAAACTAGTGAATGAATCGGAAGTCACTTAAAGACAGAGAACAATCTATTTCGTAGAAAGAAGGGAGTCGTAATCTAGTAAAATAGTCGAATTCTTCGTGTTTACGGTGCCTGTTGCCTCGTTTCACCGTGTGTTTTGAATGACTTTGAAACTCTACGGTGGTCTCTCTGCGGTTTTCCTGACCACCTAATCGCAAATAGCTGTCTTAAAATATTTAAATATGAGTTGTATCAACTGAAAAATCACCCAAAACATACCAATAACTGAGATCCGAAGGGCTTCACTGACTACCGTCTATATACCACGTGGAATACGCACAAATAAGTCGAAAGTAAAAGTCGCTCCAGCTTGAAATCTTAATTTGCATAAACTACCACACAAAAGAGCAAATCAAGCGGGAACTAAGTAGCCAATCAGCCCCGTCGTACTTAATTCATTCCTCTTTCTCTATCTATTGCGCAACGGTATTGGGTCTCTAGTCAGACAGTTCAGGTTTTACCTGTATCTTTCGCCTCGACAAAGCATGAAGAACTTGTTTCTTCTTCACGTTGCTCTTTGCGTGATATTTCTCTGAAATATGGATTGTTTGAACGAAAAGAAAGTAAGATTTCCGTGAACATGTTGTTTCGCAAGTTTAGTTCACCAAGAAAAAATGAAACTTCAATATCGTTTTGAAGGCACGTGCTAATCTCGAGGGAAATATGTCTTTCAGAAAGACTTCTTTCACTCAATACTCAACGATTAAACATTGGTATTTTCAAGGTTGTTCAGTGAGAGATGAGCGTGTTTACAGTAATTGCCGCCGCTTTTTCATTCATGCATTACTAATTTGTCACATTGTTCTACTTTAGGGGCTTTATTTCCATTTAAAAGGACTCTAAAAGCTCATTTGATAATGTCTAATTCACAACAGAGCTGCGCACAATGCTCATTTTTCCATTTCGTCAACCGCTGTTCGCAGATCATTTCCAAAACCAAATTCCACGTGCTATTTAGTCATGAAAACGAAAAATATACAACTTCCGCTCTTTAAATTTGTCGAGCGACCAGTGTTCAAGGCTTCAATTCTGCTCAGTCGTAATGGGAGTGGAAGCAATCTGGTTGATAAAGCTGATTCTTATCAATAGAACCGCACTCGAATCGAAATGATTTCTATATGACGCAGCTGTGTTCCACTAAAAGTTGACTGTGGCATATGCAAATTAAAACATTCTTCATTTCCATCGTGGTTGCCACGTCTCCCGCCTTACTTTCCCGCCAAAACACGAGGGCGAGACACCTGCTGCTGGTTTATTGCGCAAGAAAGAGATTTAAGTAGGACACATTTATTAGGCTATAGTACGCAAAAATTGAACTACGATAACAAAATAAACTTATCGACCTACCCCTTCTTTTACCTAAAGTTATGTCAGTTTTTGTTGTATTCTATTTCGAGGCACGTCATATGAAACCGAAATGTCTGGCTCTGTTTCCGAGATGTAACCCCACTACTATTCCCCATGTTGATGTTTTGATGTCTTTTTTGATATAGGATGGCGATCTAGATCTCCTATAACGGCCTAAAGCTACCGTATTTGAAAACCCCACCGGGATCAAACTTGAAAGATTGTGCCTCGTAAGTTAAAGTTTGACTTATATGAAGAGGTAGTCCATGAATTTTTCTGAAAAGAACTAAGTAACTGCCGCTCTCGATCAGTCTGACCCGTCAGATTTTGTTACTTAGTTCGAAACCAGTAAAGTGTAGAAAAATATGATGCGTTCACAAGAGCTCTTTCACTTTCTGTCGCTTTAAATATCAAGTAAATAACACGTGGGCATCATATCCGTCACACTTTCCGAGAATTTAATTTCTTGTTATATTTTCGACCAAGAGGTGATACCTGTATCTTTTAGTTTTACACATAAATATTTATATTTTGCGCAACGTGGAGATCGTCTAGTGACGTTGTACCTTAGGCTTTGTTAGGATGAATTGTTTGGTTTCACCAATCGTGCTCCTTTAGAAATGGATGAAAGGTGTGTAAGTCGGGTACGGTTGCAAGGAAGGTTTAACTGAATTTGGCAGAAGAGGAGACGGTTTCTTCTTAACTGTGGCTCTCCCGCCGTTCTATAGAAAAGCGCCCGGTATGGGTCATATATTTATTGTTTCAAATTCTGAGACACCTAGCTCGCCAAACAAAGTGTACATGGGTAATTTGGTTAGAAGGTCAGGCGGCTTGAGTGATTACGTATATGTTTGGCAAAGAAATGGATATTGTGACGACTGAGTGCATTTCATTCTTAATTTGTTGGCTCTCTTTTCTATATCGCTGTCGTAATCCGAAACGGCTGAGGCCTCCGAATAGGAGTGGTCTCTTAATTAAGCATAATTTGAAAGCGAAACCTCACAAGAATAGTGCATTTGGCGCGCATCTATCGAGTTTAATTTGCACCGCATGATACTCGCAGACCGATGATCTGACACGGTTCTATTCTATGTTTAAAGCTGGAGTCTCGATCTAAGATCTGAAGAAGCAAGTCATTCTGTGTTCTTCTCGGGCGGTTTCTTTGCAGACGTTTCAAGCAAGTCACGGACAATCTCTGTATCTCTCCTTCTCCTTGAGATCACACTTTGATATAATCTTAGAAAAAACACCGCGGGTATACAGAGACAAGAAGCGCAGATGAGAACCGCAATGATAAAGAGACACCAATTAGGATACTCTACACTCTTAACGTCGCCCTGAAATGAAAGAAAAATGATTTTTCATCGGTGGTTTATAAATTTTAATCCCTATGACAATACAGATAATCTCAGCAAACTATAATGCTTAATTATGCAGTCATGAAAGTCACGTTATTGTTATGATTCAGTTGACTAAAACCGATCAAACTAGAATCAAGGTCGACGAAGATGGCAGAAGCTGAGCGAGGATTTCATCTCATTTTACAGCCTAATGCCTTACCTCAACCGGGTTCGCGTGTCGATTTGCTCCGACGAGAGATTATTATGGATTAGTGAGACGTCTGTGCTTCCTACCATACAAAGCTCTTTATTACTGATTTATTATTCCACACTCAACTATGTCTCTGTGTTTTTGAATCACTCAAATTGAGTAAACAAACTTTTATTTCAGGTGACAGGCGAAGCTATTTCAACCAATTAAATGAAGACTTCGTTTCTAGTCCCCTGCTTGTTTATGACATGACTGGTTATTGAAATGCTCTGTCTAACACCCCCAACTTCCGTTTTGTATATAAATGCGACAAGGTGTTGTTCGTACCTCCTTGCTGTTCCACACCGAATATGTAATCGGTTTCAGTCCAAGGTTCAACACACTCCACACAAAGATGACAAATACTATCAAAGGGGACACAAATCTCCAGGTTATTTTCCAGTACAAGCCAGGTCGCATGCGCAGCATGTACTCGATGTCGTCGTAAAACCTGTGTATCAAAGTACGAAAGAAAGCGCTGTGTTACCGGTCGTTCGTAATGTGCAGTGAAATAATGTTGGTGCAGGAGACAATTGTTCTATATAAATTGATACCACAGTTAAAGGTGTGTCTTAGAATAAAAAATGACCTTTAATCCTTCTAAATCTGCGCTAATCATGATCACTTGCGCTCAGATACAGACGATCTGCTGCGGATAATCTCGGCACGGGTGAGAAACAATTTCCTTCATGAACTCCACTCATAGTTTCACACTCAAATTTACTTCCTTTGAACTCTTTTTTTACCTTTACTTGTTTGGTTGGTTGTTTTTTTGATTGGGTTAACGGAGATGGCCACACCACCATGCGGACAGAAGGACTGACAGTCAAAAGAACCCTTTTTCCACTCCCACCCCGATCAAATAGTAAGCAGTTTCAAACTCTCGATGATGTACTCGGCCGATCGTTCATTAAAATTAAGGCACGATCTTTCATCCATTACCTGTTGGCGCCGTAGATCCATGAAACACCAACAAGTTCAAAGAAGCAGATGAACAGAAGCGGTAGTGTTCCTGTAAAGCTGTCAAACATCTGCAGCCAGTACTCCCCAGAGGTCTGACAGAACAGCAGTCCAACGACCAGACACACAAAACACGTTAGACCTGAAGACGAAATGAGATATTTTGTCAGATATTTTATCATCTGGAGTGTGAATATTATTCCTTTTTTTCTTCCTTTATTTTCCCTTACATATCACTTACTTAACCATTCACCGAGAGATCATGGACAATAGCAACATTGTTTATCAGAGCTTTTCTTTAGTTTTTGGATTTGAGTGTTGTTCCCTTGTCTTAAAGTTTCTTTTAAACAGTCGGTGTATCATAGACCGGTAAGCATCAAATCAGTGTTCACGCTTTGCTGGCCGTGGGTGTCGTATATAGAGAATAATACACGGGCGCGGGTAGATATGGAATTTCTCTTCGAGTGTTTAACTCGATAGCTCACGAGTGAGATGTCGAGTTGAGCACGAGAAGAGAAATTCCATATGTACAAGCAACCATGTATTATTTTGTTTATCATATAAACACAATAGCACTTTACTGGAAAGAAAAGCCGACTTCATTAATGAATGAAAATAAATGAATCGACAATCCTCGAATAACAATCGTAAAGTGCGTTAGCGCTAACTCTTAAGATAGAAAAATGCGTTTAATCATGATTACAAAAACAACAATGATCGTAATTTTCAATTTACAAAATTCTCATTTATTGACTTTGCCCTTACCGACAGAAGAAGTCTTTCAGGTAAACGGCCAAAATCCGGCCAGTGAAAAATCTTCCAGTCGTCGATTTCATTCTGAGCCGAGAGAAATTCTTACACTAAAGCCACTGAATACGTAACTTTTGGTTTTTCTTTTAGTATATTGGTTTCCTCCCTCTTCTAAAAAAGTTTGAACCTCACTGTCTGTCAGCAATACGGATTTTTTAGTGTTTTAGCCGCCATAATTTGAGGAAGCTTTGAATCGTAAGGGATTTGCCGTTCATTCATCAACCTGACCGAGTGGCGCCAAAGGCGATTGACGTATAAGCAGCTGATTGGCTATATCAACACACGTGAAAAAAATACGATATTTTTTCACGTGTGTTGTTACGGCTTTACTCAGGGGCCGGAAATCCTTGTATAACACCGCAGTTTATGTGATAAAAAAAGATAATCTACAATAAAGAAATTCTGAAATTTTACGTAGCTAAAAAGTAAATAAAATTATCTTACCTGTCAGTAATTCCTTTCGCAGCGGAATCAACTTCTGGTCGTGCAGTGAATTAAGCACACCCTCCAGTATACCGAACATACTGCCGAGGCCGAGAGACAGCAACATGGAAAAGAACAGAACAGACCATAGTGGGGATAACGGAAGCTTCAGGATGGCTTCAGTGAAAGCTATGAAAGTCAGGCCAGGACCTTGGAACGACTGATAAGGAAATTCATTAAAAAATGGTTTTTGCAGAGAATTATATTTCAGAAGTATCCTGATTAATTCAGTCGTAGAAGCTTGAAGCAAGAGACTCTTGATCTCAAGTGTTGTCCTTTAACGTGATTTCTATTTATCTTAGAAGGTATCGGAAAAAATTTACTTGTCGAACTTGTACATATAATTTTATGGCTACTATTTAGCGTCTTTACCTCAGAAAGCCAATATGTTAGGTTATGGCATTTTTGCTGAATTGTTACTCCGTGCGGAAGGTTGGTGTTATTTGCACCACCGTATAGACTCAAACATTCGTCGTATGATCCATGTGCCTGCGGAATAAAGTCAAAAGACTTCTAGAGTAATAAAAAAAAACATTTTAAAGATATTTTCCTTGCTTTACGACTGGCGTCCTCTTAGAGAAATGAGCAGTGTCCTAGAAACTAGCTTGCATAAGGCGTCTCTTTTTTTCCTTGACGAATAAAAAACGAGAGCATGGTGCAGTAAAGGGTTAACAAGATGCTAACAAATTGGCAGGTTTGCAGTTCTTTTTTTCTTTCTTTAATCGTTAGGGGTTTCAATTAAGTCCGATGATAAAAACTTTCTGATAATGTCGCTCTCAAAAAAACGCGTAAAAAGCTAGACGACGAGTGTTTCTTTCGTATTATCGTTACGTTAAAAAAAACTTAATTGAATTAAAATCTTGTAGTGATAACAACAACAATAGCAGCAAGGTAGTATCTCAATCTTAACCTGGTAGTTGAGTTAACACCCATCTCTTATTAATTAGTACAACACCCCAACGCATCTCGGTCTTTTGCTCATTTGGGTGGTAGAAATCTACTCCCCCAGGCCAAACCTCACCTTGAAGCCGAGGACGGAGAAAACTACAACGGTCGCAAAGACTGACGTGAAACTATCAGTCAAAGATATAAAAATGGCGTCTCGCCGACAGTTGTTGTGTCTTGGGTTGTAACTCGCCATAGCGATGAGGGTCCCAAAACCGACACCCACAGAAAAAAACACTTGAGTTGCAGCCTCGAGCCATACTAAAGGGGACAGCAATCTAGAGAACTAAACATTAAGACAAAGGGAAGTGAAAGGTCGGAAAAAATCATCTCATATTTTCTTCGAGAGTTCACACTATGCGCACTATTTTTTAAGTACATTTACCAATTACATATTTCTACTACTTTTGTGGTTTTTGTGGGCGCCTTACGGTTTTTACTTAAAACTGTCTTCCATCCTAACCTTTTGCAGCCTTACCGCTCATTGCTTTGGCGTGAACAAAATAACCAGCGACGTAGGCTACTCTAGATAGTTGATGCCTCATTATGCAGATAATAATCAGGTCTTTGTTAGGCTTGATTTCTCCCATTTACGCGAGTTCGGTATTCGATATCCTCGAGACTCGGGCTCATTTTCTGAACAGCATTTATAATTGGGCATCGGGCCGAGTTCTTTATAGTATAAATGGAGTTTACGCAGTCCATACTGATCGGCCAGATCGGCGTAATTATTCACTGAGAGGATTTAAAAATCAATCGGAGTGGTTCTACTAGATAAAAGCTATTTCTTAATTGTATCCACTACATTGAATGTAATTGGACTACGTGGCCGATCAGTTTTAGCTCGTGAAAAATGCTCCAAGTGGAAGAGTCTGCCTGTCGTGTGTGTCCGTTGGCGATGGTTTCACTATGAAAATAAACGCTTTTCCGGTTAGTTACCTGAGGTTTGAACATGTGTATGATTCCATCTAATGATCCCTTCAGAGTAACAGCTCTTCCAAAGAAGATGGCCAGCACGATATATGGTAAGGTGGCAGTGACATACAACGCCTTTTGAAAAAAATGGGAAATTATGTAACTCTGAGAGGTTTCCACCTTTGCTTCTCTTCTGAGAGAGCCAATTTAACTGGCAAGGCCTATAAATGTTTTACCTTTCCAGCAGACTGGACACCACGGCTAACAAACAAAAACAGAACAATCCATGCCAATAATAGCACAAGGCACAGATGCCACTGGAAATCACCCATATCCTCGATGGAGGTTGTCGCACCGAGGGCTTTAGTGTACCAGAAATATTGTGTTCGACCGGCCAGTTTGCACTCCTCATTTACTGTGCAGTTCACGCCGCTGGGGCAGGTAGAGTAGGGGAGGGGGGCTTGAAACGACACAAATAGATAATAAAAACACCAGGCAATGATCATGTTGTAGTACATGGAGATCAGAAGGCATACGACCACTGAAGCAAGCCCCACACCGCCCAGGTAGGGGTGAATAGCTTTCCACACACCGATGGGACCCTGACGGAGGCTTTGGCCGATGGCAAGTTCCAGGAAGAAGAGAGGAATGCCGAGAAGGATCAGGCTGATAAAGTATGGAATAAGAAACGCACCTTTTATGGAAGGAATGAAAAATAACTATGATTAGGAAAGACATCAGTGCATATTTACATTTATTTACAGTGCATGAAACTGTTCAGAAGGAAAAAGAAAGGCTTTGAGGAAAAAATGCGTAGGCCAACAGCGGTGGCTTTCGAGTTTCGCTCGAAGCAATGTTAACTTGAATGAACGCGGTCGCAGAACAGTCTAAGATTTTGACACTTTCAAAATGACACACCTAAAAATAGGGACAATTTTTATGATTAAATTTCATCACTTTTACGCCTAACAGCTGATTGTTTTACCGTTTTACGGCTAACGGTTATAGCCCCATCTAGTAGCGTACATTTTTATACCTTGCAAGCACAGGAATTCTTTTAAAACAAAATGTTAAGGCTATAGAGCAAAATATCAGTGGAGTAACATATTGACAAGAAGGCAAACTGTTTTCTTATTATGGTGTTTGTTGTTTCAGATTTAACCTGTTGCTTAAATGTCCTGTTGACCTATTGTTATCAGGAGATACCTTTTCACCAGCGTGAAATTTGCATTCAACGATCCAGCCGTATAAAGGTTCATTGAATGGTCAACACAATTTCGCTAGAATAATCTGTGATACCGCTTGCTTTATTTTGATTACACTGCTTCAAAGGGAGTGCGAATTTTCATCGGTATCTCTTTGTTTTTCGAAGAGTAAGAGAGTAAATCGAATTAAAAAGATCAGACTCCTCGAGATGTGCATGTGATTAAATGTTGATAGGCGCGCGAGCTTTGTTATGTATTCTTGCGCTAAAATTACTCTATTTGTCTGCGGTTATTCGACCTCATTTCCGACCTGGCGTTTTTGCGAGTCCACCAGATATTTTCAGGGAAACAATATATCGGTTTGGATAACATTATCTTCGGAAACAGGGCTCGGAATAATTTATTCTTTACTAACAGTTCGCTAATTCCCAATCAATCCATTTTCAAGAGATGACCAACAGGAAAAAAGTCGAGCCATAGAGGGTTACGTACACCTCTAAACTTGAGAAAAAAAAACATTACGTGCTATCTAAGGCTATAACAGCTCTGAAAATACGCTGATTTTATTTTAACGAGGCTGTCTTTTTTTAATGCGATTCCTTATCTCAACAGGGTGTCAGGTGCTCTCGAGCTTATTGTTCTTTCACATGTGCTCTCTTACAAGGAAATTATTTAATCCATCAGGAAAAGTGAAATACGGCCCAAGAACACAAAACAGAAATGATAAGGAAGTGAAACCAAATATTACAAAGTTTTGCGTGTTATTCCAAGCATAAATTATTGAGCTATCGATAGGGAACTATCAGAGAGTGACGATTTTCTCTCTTTCACCGCAATTTACATAGTAAATTAAGAGTTTCATGACCGCAGACGTGATACCATGGCTCAATTTTAAACCCATTAGATCTCTCCCTACCTCCTCCATTTTTCTGACACAAATACGGAAATCTCCATAAATTTCCAAATCCAACCGCGAACCCGATAGTAGCGAGAATGTATTCGGCTTTGTTGCTCCAAGTCTGCCGTTTTACTATATCTACCTCCTCGCTTATGGTGTCGGTCTCGAAATCAAGCTTGCCTTCCTCCGCTTCATCGTACCCATTCTCGGGGCTGGCTGTTAGATTCAACGTTATCAGACCGTCGGCTTTTCGATCTTGTCTTGGCATTGCGATCGCAGTGCTCTGAATACGCGCCAAGGCTCAAAGACACTATTCGTCTGCTCATAAAGTGAGGGTCAATAACAAATCACGAATAAGGATAAATAAAAACCAGTTTTCTCAAAACACAATAAACGAGTTTGACCGGTTTGAATATTTTATTTCTTAGTGAACATAGAAGCGCGCTAAACGCGACTTTAGTATGATCTATGTAGAAAAAACCGTTTAGTATCTGCGATTGTGAAATACGAGTGGGTATTATTAATTTAAAACGTTATCAAGGAACATGTAAAAGTTCGTTCACGATCCTACAATAGATACATACTCATTTGTAAATATTTCATCAGCACGGATGTTTGTTGATGACTGACAGCTCGGCACATTTGACCCGTCTCAAGAGATCTTTCAGAATTTTAACGAAACGAGGAAGCTTAGGGATAGGGTAAGGGTTATTTTAATTTAATTTATATTTTTCAAGACTTGATATGAAATAACATGACAAAACGGGTGCAAACGAACTTACAGAATGTACCGCCATGAAGAGAGTTCAGATTTTTGTAGAAGCGTCAAGACAATATGTGTTTAACTTTCTAGACAAGTTTTCTTTCAAAAAGTTTTCAAAAGTGTCAGTTTATGTAAATATAAGGCGCCTCATTGAGTCACAGATATGATTCTCTTCGACTGAACTTTATGCATGTTTTTCTTGTAGGGCTTAGAGTTAGAGTTCACCAGTCAACAAGGTTTAGCACTTGGTTATAACAGAATTTAAACTACTCGTGAGCTTATTATTTATTACAATTATACAGACTAAATAGGATTTAATCGACCTAGCATGATAACTATAATACAAATGGTTAAAAAAAAAAACAAATACAAATGTTACTACCTGTACAGCCTCAGACAAATGGTGCAAAAAAAATGCTTTCAGATGTCAAATTACAACTAACAGGCTTCTCGAATACCACTTTCTATTAAAAAAAATAGCAAATGGAGGCTGAAAAATGCGTTGTAACAGGGTAAGGAGGAAAAAAGTGCGTTTTAGACTCATTTCCATCCTTGTAGCCGACGTTGTATGTTCGTAGAAATGTTGTAGTGTAAACTGTACCATGATATAAATTTTTCCATCTAGTTAGACTTTTCCTTGGCTTCACTTTGCGACAATTTCGAGCCAGAAGTCTACGGAATCTCGTACACGCGGTTAGCGTCAAATTAACTTTGTAATGGTAGAGATAGGAATGAATTAATTTCTGGAGATTTCTCCATTATGAGCAACAGCATCTTGATAGTAAATACCCTTGTGATCTTTTCATGAATATATCTAAGAATATTCGCCAAGTTGATGTTCCTGAAGGTTATTTGTTATCCTGTATTGATATGAAAATCGCCTTCAAGTTTAAAGGTAGAGCATTATTGCTCCATTGGAAAATGGATCGATGACTGTTTGTTTTCGTTTGCGAGAAAATAAAGATAGCGGCCATATTTTATTTTACACGCTAATCACGTGTGAAATTATCCGCAGTATGGATGCGCACTGCAATACTAAGTAAAAGCCTTGAATTCAAATCAATGAACGGTTCAGTTTCCACTGGTTCCGCAATCTTCCTACTACTTTACCAACATTTGCCATTGAAATGTGTTGTAAATGCTCGATCATCTCCAAGTATGTTAGTCAAACCATAACAAACAGTCAAGTGATCATGGCGTATATCCTCTCCTCTTCGCGATAAACCGTTGGCATAAGTTTACAAGAAAGACCGCTGGTATACAAAGACAGGATGCGCAGATGAGGAAAGCAATAATAGGATAACACCAGGATGGGTATGGAACGCTCTCCACCTCGGCCTACAACACCAAACAGATAAATATACATTTCGACTAAAATAAAACAACAACAACAACAACTGTTAAAAATTTATCCAATAAATACAGCGAAGTTCCGATTCAAAGTAATTTTCCCTTCCCATTTTCAATAATTGACGGACCTGACAGATATGAGAGGCTCTTTCTTTTGTAGACGTTTGGAAAGGGACACTTAGCACAGCCAACTGAAACCGCCACACAGATAGTGCATTGAGTTCTTCAAATGCTGAAACTCTTTGAACTTTAGCATTTGTCTAAAACTAATCGCTGCAAACAGCAAACAAATGGCCGACCATTAACGTGATTTTAGCGGAAACTTCACAGCGCAACATTCCCAAGGAAAACTTTATTAAATATCCTTAGCACCCCACAAATTCAGCACAATTACCCCCATTTCTTCTACCCCTGACCCCTGACCCCTGACCCCTGACCCCTGATCCCTTACCCACCGGTAACAACGCACAATTAAAGAACAATGGTAAAATCATTCAGTCACCTTATTTGGTCTCCAGACAGAGTACGCAGGTGGTTTCATTGCCAAGTTAACAATACTGCTAACAAAGATCGCCAGGACTATCACAGGAGACACAAATCTCCACATTATCGTCCAGAACCATCCGGGTCTCTCGAGGAGCATGTAAGTTAAATCGTCAGAAAATCTGGAAGAATCAAGATATGCTTCTAAGAAAATTCTTCATTGCCAAAGACATCACGAACAGAGACCGGTGGTAGATTCTCTCTTAGCTCCATCCGTTTCTGAGAACAAGGCACCCATGTCAAAGAACTCTCAACCACACCTCAACATCAGTAAGCATATTCTCTCAACTATTCTCTGTACATTTTTTAAGGTATCGATAATTTGTTTAACAGTCCAGAGGGTCTGTATTTGGCGATCATTTCATTTATTCTCGTGATCTTAAAATAAGCAGAGCGGTGATACTGTAAGGAGAAATGAAATGCTAGTCACTCATGGTAAACTTTCCAATAGGTGTCTCGTACTTCCTATCAAAGGTCGCTTTGAGTTTCTTTACGTTGCATCAAGATAACACACCAAAAGTTTTCTGAAAGTGACAAGATTTTCTCTTCAATCGCATCATGTGTTACCTGATTAATGCGGTGATGTTACAACGTGAAATCAAAAAAAATACAACAAACAAACAAAGCTTCCTTATATGAAGACACGTCCACTCGTGATGATCTCGAGCTTATGGTTTATATCTTATCAGTCGATCTAGCTCCAGTCCTCACCTCTTGGTTCCATACACCCATGCTACTCCGATAAGTTCGAAGAAGCAGATGAAGAGAAGTGGTAGTGTTCCTGTAAAGCTGTCAAATAGCTGCAACCAGTACTCCCCAGAGGTCTGGCAGAACAGCAGTCCAACGATGAGACAAAAGAGGCACGTAAGACCTGGGAAGGATTAAACAATATGCTAGCTTAGTATCTGACTTGTTAGCGAAGGAGAGAGTAGAAAGGCTGGAGGGGGATCATGAAGTAAAGTCCCTTGTTACCCTTTCATCCTCGTCTTTCAATCAGCTGCCTTACTTTTGGGGATTCTTTGTTCGCACCACTACACTTACTACACAGATAACCAGGTACTTTTACGTCAAATCAAGACTGTTAAATCAAAGAAAATTAAAAATGTGACCGAAGCCGAGTGCATGACGCAGAAGTAAACAAGGTAATTTCCAATTGTGATTCGATATCTTGCAAGGAGGTTTCGTCGCAGCTAACGTGCGATTTTCCCACAGAACCCAGCGGTGTCACATTTAAGAAACTAACTCGTGATATAACATTTTTTACGCCCAAGAAATTTGCCTTCATAATAAAGGAAACTGCAAAATGCTATTGAGACAAGATAGAAAAAATAAAAAACAAATTGACGGCAAACCAAGAAGGAACTAGAATTCATTCAACTCAACAGAAACTGACCTGTCATTATTTCCTTGCGCAAGGGTACTATCTTCTGTTTGTGTAACGGGTTAAGTACACCCTCCAGTATACCGAACATGCTACCAAGACCGAGAGACAGAAACATGGCGAAGAACAGTACAGACCATAGTGGTGAAGCCGGCATTAAAAGGATTGCTTCAGTAAAGGCAATGAAAGTGAGGCCAGGACCTTGAAATTTCTGAAGAAAAAAGATGCGATAGTCGTTTTGCTATTGATCATGATCATTTAACAGAATTTCTTTCGATTATATTAATATATTCAAGTGAAAAGAGAAAACATGGAGTTTTCTTGTATTATGGAAAAACCACAGGCGCGATTCTTTTGATACAATTCCAATTCTTTTGACTTTCTGTCTCTCTCCCCTTCTCTCTCTCTCTCTCTCTCTCTCTCTCTCTCTCTCTCCCTCTCTCCCCCCCCCTCTCTCTCTCTCTCTCTCTTCAGTCATTCGTTCGTCAGTAGGTTTATTTGTCCGTTTGCCTGCCGGTCTGTCTGTTAGTTTATCCATCTTTATCCTTTTGCGGTTTCTGCAATTTACAGTGCGCAAATGTTTTAACCCGTCCACAGGTGCATGGTCTATATTTGTCTGTAAGATTGTCAGTCTGTGTGAGTAATACATGAATTTTGATTAACTATGTGCCATGATTTACCTTAGATAGCCAGTGCTCCAGATTATGACATTGCTTTTTAAGCGTCACTCCAGCGGACAGTTTAGTATTGTTGACTTCACCATAAAATGCTAAACACTGAGTGTAGGAATCATGTGCCTTTAAACGTAAGAAAGATGAAAGTCAAGTCATATTCGATGGGTAATTGGATTTTAGTTAAGCCTTAAAATAGGCTCTATCAATGTAATCACACATGATACCCTTTAAAATATCAGAAGGTATTCCAAGTAATCTTTGTTATTATGAGACAGAGAGGGCAAGATGACTTATCATAGGGCAATTGAGTGCACCTGAACTGAGATGTGATTCTCAAGATCACTGTTACTCAATAAGTTGTGGTAAAATTCTCATCTTTCCAATGGTCAATTAGTCAATTATTCTGAGTAGTAATCTATGAGGGAGTGATTTCTGCTGATACTCATTTCATAGTTGTTTGAGGGTATACAAAATATTAAAGTCGCTCTCAAGAACTGACCAGAAAGAGATGTAATGTATTCAGCTCTTGAATGACGATGATGGTGTTTATATTATCATTCTGTTAATTAGCAAACTCACATCCCAAAGTTGTAATCTACTTGAATT